CCCAAACCAATCCCCAGGGCAGTCACTTACAGATCATTCTGCTTCGTGGATCCAAGAAACAGCTTACAGCCCATTTATCAGGTTTCTTTTGGCAAGATTTTGCCACCTGACAATAAATAACTCCAACCAGAGCGTAACCAGAATGGGACGACCAGAGCTTTGCCCCAAGGTGCAGTACAAGTCTTGTATTCCTTTGACATTATAAAAATAACAAAGCCTAGCACCATGTTAGAAAAAATTAGCTAAAAATAGGTTCTCTTTCCCACCCTTCCAAGTGTCCTGATGTCCTCAAGGCTCTGCTTCCCCTGTCCCTCTCAGATGAGAACCCTCACTTCAGGATGTTTGCCCCAGGGGCAAAAATTCCTAGTTTGGGCTCTGGTCCCAAGGGAGTCCTTTCTAGAAGTCATATTTGGCTTTCACACACTAGTGACATCAAGACTGACTGAACCAGAAGCCACGGCTCCAGAGGACAGAAGCCAAGGAAAGACAGGACAAACCTCCATAAGTGTGGATGACAGCTTGTACCTAGAAATGACATGCATCCTGTCTCCCAGTAATAAATCAGACAGTAACAGGATCCTCATCACCCATGGCCACATTTGGAATGCCCTTTAGCATGAAGGGACCTTTCTCATTCCTGAGCACTGAGTACGTAGGATTCACATGGCACCCCCAAATTCAGTTCACGGTCAGAATCCACAAACTGCTGTGATAAGGTGGCTGTTCTCATTGTCTAATTTTGTAGGGTCTTGTACTTGACGGGAGGGGGGAGGTGTAAAGACCATTCAACTCACCCAAGGCTAATATGCTGGTTACAAAGATCGGTGGCAGATAATTGTTGCTACTGAAGAATCACTAGGGAAAAAAAATTGTGTTTTCTTCAGTGAACAATGCAGGCACAAAGGTACCAAGATAAATAACATCAAATATCCTGAAACAGGTTACATGTCACTGACTGCAACTGATAATAAGCTTAGTGAATTATAGCTGACAAAAGCCCAGCCAGGCACATCTTCTCCCCAGATCCTCATTTAGCTAATAATCAGCCAAGAAAGACTTAGACACCTAGTTCCTGACTCCTAGCCCTGGGCTCTTCCCAAGATGTCACCCACCACTTCAAGACAAAGGACAGATGAATGCAGGAAAGCGGGAGCTCTGACCTACAATGTGGGCGGCTTTGTCATTTCTACCATCTTGCTTCTAGAGATATCTTTTGCTTTTACATCACCCATTTCTGAACCTGTCCCTCCTTATGGTCTTTCCCACTGTGCCATCCTTCATAACAGAAATTAGAAAAGAGGAAAAAAAATCAGTTCAAAATGAACCAACACCTCAACCATAGTTGATGCTATATGCACTATTCCACACCCCTACACCCCCACCTCTGCCAAGAAGGGCAGCAGGTATATTTCATTTAGACCTTTTTTTAAGTCAGTTTTCTTGTAAAAAGAAAAAAAACAAACAAAAACAAAAACAAAAAAAAGGTTTGTTTTTTTTTTAATGTCAGATGCATTTTTCATCTCACCTTTAAAGGCTATTTCTCAATGAACTTTTGGGGCCAATATGGACTGCATTTTGGCTGTGAATTTCCCTTCATATAACCATGAAGAGTTCAGGCTTAAATACCAGGCATCCACTAACTAGGCAAACAATTTTTAAATCACTCCTCACCTGTTGTGTCATTGCTGTTTTTAGTTTAGGAAATAAAATGACTTTCTCAACTGACGCCACTAGACTTGAGACTTGAAACACCGGAAGATTTGGCAGAGGCCTAGAGGGACAACCAGGAACACTTTTAATGCTACTTTCCTAAGATCCTAGTTTTAGAACCAGAAGAAATCTTTTTGTTCAGTCTTTTAGTCATGTCCAACTCTTCCTGACCCCATTTGGGGTCTTCTTGGTAAAGATACTGGAGTGTTTCTTCCCTTCCCTTCTCCAGCTCATTTTACAGATGAGGAAACTGAGGCAAACAGGGTTAAGTGACTTGCCCAAGGTCACCCAGCTAGTAAGCGTCTGAGGCCAGATTTGAACTCAGGAAGATGAGTCGTCCTGACTCCAAAACTATGGCGCCACCTACCTACCCCAGAAGGAATTTTAGAGCCCATCTAACCCTTTCATGTTGGGAATCAGAAAACTGAGAAACAGAGAGCTGATGAGATTTCCCCAGAGTGGTACAACAAATAGGACTCTGACACGAGACTGGAACCCCAAGTCTTCCCGCCTCCAAGTCCTGCACCCTATCGACTACTCCCGGAGGCCTCTACAGAGTCACATGATCAATTGAACACTGGTCCTACTCCCTGTGGAGCCTCAGTCACATATGTGAGAAGGGAAGGCTCCAAGCTTCAGATGGATAGTAGTAACTCATGGGGTGGGGCACAGTCTTCAAATACAAAGGCCTCATCCTAGTTCCCAGCAGGCCAGAGGAAAAAGAACAAACTCCACATTTCAGGGGTCCAAAATCCCACTTCTGATCTCAGTAATGGCAGAGCCAACTCTGACTTCAAGAATTAGCAGGTAGACATCCATAAGCTTATACACATCAACTCCCCAGATGAGGAGAAAAATGGGTATGCCATCTTTCACGAAGAGGGCATGCCCACTGAGCTAGTGGGTCTTGGTTGCACTGAGTTCAAGCACCCAGATGGGCATAAGATCAGTCAATCAGTCAATGAATATTTATTAAGCGCCTACTATGTGCCACGCACTGTGCTAAGCGCTGGGAATACAAAGGGAAAAGATAGGCCTTGCTCTCCAGGAACTCACTTAGATCTAAAACTAACAACCTGGCCCAATTTCTTCCTTTTACAAATAAAGAAACTGAGGCCTCAGCAGGTTAAGTGACTACCCCAAAGTCACACTGGTAGGATTTGAACCAAATCTTACTGTAGTCAGTGCTCTTTCCACTGTACACCATGATGCCTGCTGGCCTTCCTGTGACCAATGACACAAAATCATAAGACCCCCGACTTAGAACTGGAAAGGAATGGAGACATCATCTAGTCTAACCTCTCATTTTTCACATGAGGAAAATGAGGACCAATCAGAGAAGTTAAGTGACTTGCCCAAGGTCACACAGGTACTAAACAACAGCATAGGGATTTGAACCCATGACCTCTGATTCAGAATGCAGCACCCTTTCCACTGAACCAATCTGCTTTTCAAAGATGGCCTGTGAGGGGATGCTGGAGCCATCTCAAACCAACTCAGGGAGCTGATGGTTAAATTACTGATGTGAGCACTGACATCTCAGAAATCAGAAAACACTACAAATCAGGGCTTGAATTATCATTTTGGTGATTATCCAGACTTAAGAAAGATGAAGACGATGCTAAGAATGCTGATTAAACTTTAAATTGTGTCATGCATTCATATTGTTTCCCTAGAGAGCTGGTTGTTAAACATTTACCGGCATACCCCTGATTAAGGGTATCATGTTTAAAATAAATACCGGATAACTCATGGAAACGAACTATTCTAAAAAGATGGGAAGAAAAATTATCTTATCTTACTTAGAAAAGATCTCTCTCCCCCTTCCACCTGCCTCTCCTGCCAACCCCATTTCCTACGTCCAAACCAGTCTCCATCCTCCTACAGGGTAATTTAGATTGTGTCTCCAAGGAAACAGCATTTAGGAGAATGTCCTCATCATCTAGACTTAACTGAAGCATCCCCTGAGTACAAGAAGTGCTTGAGAAATGTTTGTTGATTTAATTGAAATGTTTTGGTTCTGAAGTGGTTGCCATTTACCTATTTGCTTAGAATACAGTCTAACTCTGTGATCTATGAAGTGTCCCTTTCAGAGGCCAGCACTGGACAAATTCTCAGCATTCTCATGAATATTTGGGAAACCACGTTATAAAGAACTTGTTGCAAGGAATAATTAATAATAATAAAAACAATAATAACTTTAATACAGTCTTTTAAGGTCTACAAAGCACTCTACATATATTATCTCATTTTATCCTCACAACAACCCTGTGAGGTAGGTAGGTGCCATTATTATCCCCATTTTATAAAACAGGAAACAGAGACAGAGGTTAAGTGACTTGCTCAAGGGTACACAGCCAGCAAGTGTCCATGGATCAAGTCTTCCTGATTCCAAGCCCCCTTATCTACCTCTCCACCATAACACTGCACAGCAATAACACTGGACTTTCTATGATCCATGGCCACGTATCCATCATTCTTTTAGAGAAAAAGCCTGGCTGTATAACCATTTACTGTAGGCATGGGAAACGGAGCTGAGCTGCTGAAAGGGAGTTAGGCTTTTTAAACTTCTTTCAACCAATCAATCAATCACCAAATATTTATTAAGTACCTACTATGTGCCAGGTACTGTCTTAGGTACTGAAGATACAAATACAAAAACATGAAACAATACCTACTCAAGAGGAGTATATATTCTAACCTAGAGGTTCTTAATCTGGAATGAACTTTTTAAATGTTAATAAATGTATGCCAATATAATTAATTTCTTTTGTAGTCTTCTGCATTTTATTTCATGCATTTAAAATATTATTCAAGAAAGACTTCCATCAGAGTTCACAACATAAGAAAGATTAAGAACCCCTGAATCCCTCACCAACAAAACAAGAGTCACCCAAACTCCCAAACCACTCACAAAGAAAATACACAAAAGATCCCCAAAGACAAGGGTCTGAGATGATGCCTGAGCAATACCTCCCTCTTTCCCCAGCTGGAGTCCCACACTAGTAATTTCATTCTAGTCTGTTGCCTTCCCAGGTCTCATGGACTAGCATTAGGCTTGCTAACTGTGCACTCATTTTAATAAGCTTTAATTACAGCAAAACCACGGGGAGATGAGGGAATCACATAAGTTTGTTGCAAAAAGATTCTACCTGTGCCTTCATCTCACCTTTAGTAGCGAACCACAAGACCAATGTAGTTTTTTGCTGTTTTCTTTTTTTTTTTGTTTTGTTTTGTTTTTTGGTAAGGCAATTGGGGTTAAGTGACTTGCCCAAGGTCACACAGCTAGTATGTGTCAAGTGTTTGGTCTGAGGCCAGATTTGAACTTAGGTCCTCCTGACTCCAGGGCCGGTGCTCTGTCCAAGTTTTTTGCTGTTTTAACAGCTCTTGGATAATTCATGTTGATTGTTTTAGGCTGTGTCCTGGTAGTATCACATTCCTGCCTGTCTTGTTTTGCACATGAATCTATAACCTTTCTTAATTGGGAACCATAACCCACCTCCAGTCCTAAATTCTTCTTGGTAGCCTGGGACTATTATTTATCCAAGACAGTTTTCCCTCTGCCTTTGTCAGGGAACACCACTATCTTTGCAGTGGATAGGCATGGACTCTCATCTGTCACTGATCACGCTCTTGGTCTGCCCCTGGTAAGGAAGCGGCTGAATGAGGATGAGGGAGGGTGAGGAAGTTAACCCCCTTCTCCATCCTCCCACCTGGAGTCTTCCCAGAAGCAGGGCTTCGATTTCTTTGAAGTACTGCGAATTCCCAGGGTGCAGGGTATGTTCACGTCAAAAGAGAAATATCAAAATAAATCTCAAAACCAACAATTTGAGGGGTGAGCTCTCTAGCTTCTAACCTGGCAGCCTAGCATGAGCATGGAACTTGGCTAAATTATAATTATAACAATACCTGACATTCACACAGCGCTTTGAAGTTTGAAAAGCACTTTATGTATACGGGGGTGTCCTAAACATCTTAATACAGTGTTAAGCTCTTAAAGATCTTGGGGACACTCTATTATCTTTATCGAACCCCACAACAATTCAGTGAGGTCAAACCTACAAAGATTTAGACAGAGGAAAAACTCTCTTTACTAATGCAGCACTTTCTCTGCTATTTATAATGTAGTCTAAGAGAGTTGCCTATGAGCAATTAAGTAACTAGGGTCACAAAACCAGTATGTATGAGAGACTTGAAATCAGACCACAGTTTTGAGGTCAGCTCTTTACCCAATCTACTATATCCTCTCTTACAATTAGGCTTATTATCCACCATTTTACAGGTAAGAAAACAGGGTCTCAGAACGCTTAATCGATTTGACCAAGGTCACACAGCTAAGAAGTACCAGAAGTGGAATTCCAACCCAAGTCTTCTGCTCTTTCCACTATAATAGGTCGCTTCCTCTTTGTAACCTCTCTGAAGGCAAGGATGAAGAGTTAGGCATCTCTGTGTTTCCCATGGTGCCTTGTACATCTTAGGTACCTAGTAGGGAACTGTCAAATGAATGATGAAGAAACACAGTCGTTTCAATACTGTCAAAACTCAACCAAGCCACACGACTCTAGAACTAGGACAAAAAGGGCCTTATCTATCCCAGAAAAACTCAGCTCCAAGGCCTTTGTAAACCGAAAGGCTGAATAAATAGACTTTCAATATGAAGCTCATCTTTCAGCCAACAGAAACTTCAGGGATCTACTTTCTCCTCCTCTGGGTGTCCATAATTCCCATTATCATTAACAGGAGATTCAAATCAGAAGAGAGTTAGACCACTTAATTCTGAATTCCTATTCTATCAAAACAAGGAAATTTATTCACCAGATAAAACCATATAAATAGCAAAATACAATATTCATACTTGCTTAAAAAGCGCCGTTTATACTCTCATTGGTATTAATGCCTCAATGTCCGCCCACCTCGAGTGGTTTATTTGGTTACTTGGCCTGGGCCACCCCTTGTGTAAAGGGGATCCTGAAGTTCCCCGCTGGGGGCCTGTCAGACCACGCTGGAAGTTCATGCTGTAAGGGAGTCCTCCTGGGATAGAACGTGTGACTGAGATCATAGCTCAGAAGGCAGCTCAGAGACGCCATGTAGATATCAGCAAATCGAGATAAGCGCCTCAGGAAGTATGTGGGGTTCTGGTCTGTTCGAAACAGGCTTCCAAACTGGGAGTTGAAGAAATTTTTGGTCATTTCTCTGTAAAAGTAAAGAGGGTGGGGGAAAGTAGAATGTTAAAACCAGGATAGTCTGACCAAAAAAAGAAAATGTTTTTTAAAATGCAACTATTAAAAGCATCTAATTTTATTTATCAGACAGATTTTAGAAGAATAAATTCACAACTAGGCATTAATTTTTCACAAAGAAAACCTCTTATCCTTAATTTTTCAGAAGTAATTCCTATCAATTTCCTATCTTTTGAGCAGCTGTGTGGCACAGTGGATAGAGCACCAGACCTGGAGTCAGGAAGTCCTGAATTCAAATCCAGCTTCAGACACTTATGACTCTGGGCAAGTCACTTAACCTCTGTTTGCCTCAATCTCCTCAACTGTAAAATGAAGGTAATCATAGCACTTACCCTTAAAAGTTGTTTTAAGGATGAAATGAGTTAATCATTGTAAAGTGTTTACCCACAGTGCCTGGCACACAGTAAGCACTATATAAATGTTAGTTATTATTATTATTAATCATTATCAGTATGTACATTATCCAAAACCCACCTAAAAGACACTTGGCAAGACAGCTGTTGTTCAGTTGTTTTTTTCAGTCGTGTCTGACTCTTCATGACCCCATTTGAGGTTTTCTTGGCAGAGATACTGGGATGGCTTGCCATTTCCTTCCCCAGCTCATTTTACAGATGAGAAAACGGAGGCAAACAGGGTGAAGTGACTTGCCTGGGGTCACACAGCTGGTAAGTATCTGAGGCCAGATTTGAACTCAGAAAGATGAGTCCTCCTGACTCCAGGCCTGGGGCTCTGTGCACTATGGCGCCACCTAGCTGCCCATCTGGCAAGACATAAATGCACTATAGGTGGACCCATGGGTCCAGCCACTCTGAAAAGTAATTTAAAAACATGCCTCGGGGCAGCTAGGTGGTACAGTGGATAGAGCACCAGCCCTGGAGTCAGGAGGACCTGAGTTCAAATTTGACCTCAGACACATAATGTTTCCTAGCTGTGTGACTCTGGGCAAGTCACTTAACCCCAATTGCCTCACTAAAAAAAAAAAAAAAAACCAACAAAAAAAAAACATACATGCCTCAAAAGTCACTACCCTTTGACCCAGCAATGACACTACTAAGCCTATGAATTACTGAAGGTAAAGTAATTGCAAACCTTAAAGTACCATACAAGTGCTAGCTGTTATTATTATTATTATTATTATTATTGTAACTGGAGATTAAAAATTGGTGAAAAGGACTCATACATAGAAAATTATCTATAACAACTCTTTTTGTAGTGACAAACAGATAGAAACTAAGAGAACATCTATCAGGCAGATCAAAACATACAACCAGAAAAAGACAACAAAGTCAAAGCTCCTACATCCAAAGTCCCCAAGAAAAATATGAATTGGTCTCAAGCCACGGAAGAGCTCAAAAAGGATTTTGAAAATTAAGTAAGAGAAGTAGAAGAAAATTGGGAAGAGAAATGAGAGTGATGCAAGAAAATCATGAAAAGTGAGTCAACAGCTTGGTAAAGGAGACAAAAAAATACTGAAGAAAATAACACCTTAAAAAAAACCTACTAGGCCAAATGGTAAAAGAGGTACAAAAAACCAATGAGGAGAATGCCTTAAAAAGCAGATTGGCCAAATGGAAAAAGAGGAACAGATATTCACTGAAGAAAAGAACTCCTTGGAAAGTAGAACTGACTAAGTGGAAAAGGAGGTCCAAAAGCTCACTGAAGAAGAGAATTCCTTATAAATCAGAATTGAGCAGATGGAAGCTAATGACTTTATGAGAAATCAAGAACCAATGAAACAAAACCAAAAGAATGAAAGAATAGAAGACAATATGAAATATCTCACTGAAAAACAAATGACCTGGAAACTAGATTCAGGAGAGAGAATTTGAAAATTATTGGACTACCTGAAGGCCATGATAAAAAAAAAAGAGCCCAGACATCATCTTTCAAGAAATTAACAGACCCAAGATGGCGGAGTAAGAAGTGAGTCTCTCTTACTCTCCCTTATTAACTCCTGAAAGTCCAGAAAATATCACCCCAGGAAAAAACCTGGAACAGCTGAACCAGAAGAAAGATGGGGTGCAGCAGTACAGTAGCCCAGATAGCTTGAGGGATTAACTGGAAAGGCCCCTCTTACAGTGGGGGAAGGAGAACAGTACAGAACGGGAGGCATCCCAGCAAGCTAGTGGAAAGCCCCACCTCAGCATACCAGGAAGAGATCCTGAAGCCCAGGTGGTGGAGAAAGCAAACACCAACATCTGGACCCTAAGTGCCTCACTGAGAGTGGGGGAACCGGTGGAACTCGAACCTTCAGCAACCACCACCCTGAGCAGTCAGTAGCCATCAACATTGAGGCAGGACGCTCCACCAGCAAAAAAAATTACAACTCGGTGCATCTAGGTGGCAAAGTAAATAGAGCTCTGGCCTTGGAGTCAGGAGGACCTGAGTTCAAATCCAGCCTCAGACACTTGACACTTACTAGCTTTGTGACCCTGGGCAAGTCACTTAACCCGGATCACCTCACCATAAAAGCAAAAAAAACCATTTTACAACTCCCTGAAGGCTCAACTGATGGTTAGCACTTTTGAGCAATAAAGTATTTTTAAATGAAAAAAAAAATTATCAAGGAAAGCTGTCTTGATAGTATAGAACCAGAGGATAAAATGGAAACTAAAAAAATCCACTGGTCACCTCCTGAAAGATCTCAAAAGGAAAACTCCTAGGAATATTATACCCAAATTCCAGAGCTCCCAGGTCAAGGAGAGACAGCCAGAAAGAAACAATTCAAGCATTGTGGAGCCACAGTCAGGAAAATTCAATATTTAGCAGCTTCTACATTAAAGCATCAAAGGGCTTGGAATATGATATTCTAGAAGGCAAAGGAGCTAGGTAGGATTACAATTAAGAATCACCTACCCAGCAAATCTGAGGAAAATTTTTCAAGGGAAAAAAAATGGATATTCAATGAAAAAAAGGACTTTCAAACATTCTTGATGAAACGACCAGAACTGAACGGAAAATCTGACTTTCAAATACAAGTCTCAAGAGAAGCATAAAATGATAAACAGGAAAGAGAAATTATAAGGGACTTAATCAGATTAAACTGTTTATATTCCTACATGGGAAGATGATACTTGTAACTCATAAGACCTTTCTCATTATTAGGACAGAATAGAAGGAGTATATAATATGAAGGGATGATATCTAAAAATAAAATTAAGGGGTGAAAGGAAAGTACTTAGAGAAAGAGAAAGGGAGAGGTAGAATGAGGCAAATTATCTCACATAAAAGAGGCAAGAAAAAACTTTTAGAGTGGAGGAGAAGAGGGAGTGACTGAACCTTACTCTCATCAGAATTGGCTCAAAGAGGGAATAACATACACACTCAATTGAGTATAGAAATCTATCTTACCCTATAGGAAAGTAGGAGGGGAAGGGGATTTCAGAAGGGAGGGGAAAATAGAAGGGAGGGCAGATTGGGGGAGAGGTAGTTAGAAGCAAAACATTTTTGAGGAGGGAGAAGGTAAAAGGAGAGCAAGAATAGAATAAATGGGGGGAGAAATAGGATGAAGGGAAATACAGGTAGCAATAGTAAGTGTGAAAAAAAATTTTGAAGCAAGTTTCTCTGATAAAGGCCTCATTTCTCAAACATATGGAGAGAAATGAGTCAAATTTTTAAACATAAGAGCCATTCCCCAGTTGACAAATGATCAAATGATATGATCAGTTTTCAGATGAAGTAATCAAAGCTATCTATAGTCATATGAAAAAATGCTCTAGGGCAGAGCCAAGATGGTAGAGGGAAAGCAGTGACTTGCTTGAGCTCTCCCTCAAACCCCTCCAAATACCTGTAAAAAAAAATGGCTCTAAACAAATTCTAAAGCAGCAGAACCCACAAAAAGACAGAGTGAAACAAATTTCCAGCCCAAGACAACCTGGATGGTTGATCTGAAAGGTATATCACGCTGGGTGGGGAGAGGAACGCAGTTCGGCGTGGACATGCAGGCCACAGCAACCCTGGAACAGGCCTCAGAGGACTGAATCACAGGCAGCTGTGGACGTTTCCAGACTTCTCAACCCAGGAATGCCAAAGACAACTTAGAAGGTCAGTGGGAAAAATCTGTGACAGCGGTGAGAGAGAAGCTAGGTCTCAGCCACAAGTGCCGAGCGTGCCCCAGGGCAGCAGTTGCCTCCTGAGCTTCAGGCCCACAGACTGAGGGGGAATCGAGTGGCTGATCAGAGAGGGATTGCAGGGATCTCTTTGCCAGTGCTGAGGCAGGAATCTCTTGCTTTGTCCATGCTTGGATCTGGGTCACAGTTCTGAAGGGCAGTCCTGGAGCAAGAAAAAGCGCTGGCGTGGTGGAGCTTGTTGTGGCAGTGGAAAGGAAACACCTCGCCCCTTATCATAGCACCTTGGAAGAAATGAAAATTTACAGATCCCTACAAGTATCTCTGAAAACAGCTACACAAAACCCCCGAAGCTTGGGACAGTACACTCTCCATATTGGAAGCAGACTTTTACCTTAACAAAGAGTTTAAAACTCAAGTAATTGGCTGGGATCATGAGCAAACCTTGCAAAAAGAGTCATATCTTACTTTGGTGACAAAGAAGATCAAAACATACAACCAAAAGAAAACAACAAAATCAAAGCTCCTACATACAGAGCCTCCAAGAAAAATATGAATCAGTCCCAGGCCGTGGAAAAGCTCAAAAGAGATTTTGAGAAGCAAGTTAAGACAAGTAGAGGAAAAACTGGGAAGAGATATGAGAGTGATGCAAGAAAATCATGAAAAATAAGTTAACAGCTTGCTAAAGGAGACCCCAAAAAATACTGAAGAAAATAACACTTTAAAAAATAGCCTAACCCAAATGGCAAAAGAGGTCCAAAAAGCCAATGAGGAAAAGAATGCCCTCAAAAGCAAAATTGGCCAAATGGAAAAGGAAGTCCAAAAACTTACTGAAGAAAATACTTCCTTAAAAATTAGAATAGAGCAATTGGAAGCTAGTGACTTTATGAGAAATCAGGACACTGTAAAACAAATCCAAAAGAATGAAAAATTAGGAAACAATGTGAAATATCTCATTGGAAAAACAACTGACCTGGAAAATAGATCCAGGAGAGAGAATTTAAAAATTATTGAACTATCTGAAAGCCATGATCAAAAAAAGAGCCTAGACATCATCTTTCAAGAAATTATCCAGGAAAACTGCCCTGATATTTTAGAACCAGAGGGCAAAATAGAAATTGAAAGAACCCACCAATCTCCTCCTGAAAGAGATCCCCAAAGGAAAACTCCTAGGAATATTGTAGCCAAATTCCAGAGTTCCCAGATCAAGGGGAAAATATTACAAGTAGCCAGAAAGAAACAATTCAAGTATTGTGGAAACACAATCAGGATAACACAAGATTTAGCAGCTTCTACATTAATGTAGCGCAGGGCATAGAATATAATATTCTGGAGAGCAAAGGAGATAGGATTACAACCAAGTATCATCTACCCAGCAAAACTGAGTATAATCCTTCAGGGGAAAAAAATGGTCATTCAGTGAAATAGAGGACTTTCAAACATTCTTGATGAAAAGATCAGAGTTGAATAGAAAATCTGACTTTCAAATATAAGACTCAAGTGGAACATGAAGAGGTAAACAGGAAAGAGAAATCATAAGAGACTTATTAAGGTTGAACTGTTTACATTCCTGCATGGAAAGATGATATTTGTAACTCATGAGACCTTTGTCAGTGTTAGGGTAGTTGGAGGGAAAAAATTATATGTATGTATATAGATAGATAGATAGATAGACAGATAGATAGATAGATAGATAGATAGATAGATGGATGGATGGATGGATGGATGGAGGGGGCAAAGGGTGAGTTGAAGATGAAGGGGTAATACCTGGAGAATAAAATTAAGTGGTGAGAAAGGATTATACTAGCAGAAGGAGAAAGGGAAAAGTAGAATGGGGTAAATTATCTCACAAAAAAAAAAAAACAGAAAAGAAAAAGCTCTTACAGTGGAAGGGAAATGAGGGAAGGTGAGAGGGAATGAGTGAATCTTATTCTCATAGGATTTGACTTAAGGAGGGAATAACATACACACTCAATTGGGTGTGGAAATCTGTCTTACCCTACAGGAAAATGGGGGGGGGGAAGGGGACAAGAGAGTAGGGGGATGATAGAAAGGAGGGCAGATTGGGAAAGGGGGTAATCAGAAGCAAATAATTCTGAGGAGGGACAGGGTCAAAAGAAAGAATAAAATAAATGGGGGGGAAGGATAAGATTAAGGGAAATAGTTTTCACAGCATGTCTACTATGGAAGTGTTTTGCATAACTGCATATGTATAACCTATATTGAGTTGCTTGCCTTATCAATGAGGGTGGGTGGGGAGGGAGGAAGGGAGAAAATTTGGAACCCAAAGTTTTAAAAACACATGTTTAAAAAAAATGTTTTCACATGCAACTGGGAAATAAGAAATACAGGAAATGGGGAACAGAAATCTATCCTGCCCTAAAGGAAAATAGAAGAGGAAGGGGATAAGAGAAGGGGGGGAGAGATAGAAGGGAAGGCAGACTAGGGGAAGGGGAATTCAGAATGCATGCCAATGGGGCAGCTAGGTGGCGCAGTAGATAGAGCATCAGCCCTGTATTCAGGAAGACCTGAGTTCAAATCCGGCCTCAGACACATAACATTTACTAGCTGTGTGGCCCTGGCCAAGTCACTTAACCCCACTGCTAGCCCAAAAAAAAAACAAAAAAACCAGAATGCATGCCATCTTGGGGTGGGGGGAAGGGCGAGATGGGGTGAAAATTTGGAACTCAAAATCTTGTGGAAGTAAATGTTTAAAACTAAAAATAAATAAATTTATTAATTTAAAAAAATGCTCTCACTACTGATTGGAGAAATGCAAATTAAAACAATTCTGAGGCACTGCCTCATACCAATTAGATTGACTAACAGGACAAAAAAGGAAAATGAAAAATGGTGGAGGGGATGTGAGAAAAATGAGACATTAATGCACTGCAGGTAGAGTTGTGAACTGATTCAACTATTCTGTAGAGCAATTTGGAACTACACCCAAAGGGCTCTGAAACCATGCATATCCTTCGACATAGAAGTACCACTTCTAGGTCTATATCCCAAAAGAGATAAAAACAAAAAAGAAAAGGACTCATACGGACAAAAATATTTACAGCCGCTCTTTTCTGGGGACAAAGAATCGAAATTGAGGAGATGCCCATCAACTGGGGAATGGCTGAACAAACTGTAGTATGCGATTGTGATGGAGAACTGTTGTGCTGTAAGAAATGATGAGTAGGATGCTCTAAGAACAACCTGGGAAGACTCACATGAGCTGACACAAAGTGAAAACGTACTGTGTACAAAGTAACAGAATACTGTAAGATGATCAGCTGTGAATGACTTAGCTATTCTCAACAATACAACGACACAAGATAACTCTGAAGGACTTAGGATGAAAAATGCTATCCAGACAAAGAACTGATGGTGTCTGAATACAGACTGGTGCGTATTTTTTTTTTTACTTTATTTTTCTTGGGTTTTTTTTGTCTATGTTTTCTTCCACATGACTATTAGGGAAATGTTTTGCATGACTACACATGTATATCGTATATCAAACTGCTTGCCTTGTCAATGGGCGGGGGGAGGAAGGGAGAGAATCTGGAAGTCAAAGTTTTAAGAAAGAATGTTAAAAATTGTTTTTGCATGTAACTGGGAGAAAAAATTAAAAATAAAATTAAAAAAAAGAAATGGGGTTTCCCAAATATTACTAATTCACATCAGTTGGGAAGGGCAACTGGTATGAAATTCAGAGTCATTTAAAAGAAAGGATTTTAATCAGAAATAATACAATTTTGACAGCAGTAAGAACCTTTCTTGATCAGATAGTCCAATGACCCCCTTTTACAGATGAATAAATGTGAGGGCCCAAAGAGGTTAAGGGATTTGCCCAAGATCATATAGCAGGTTCGCTGAAGAGCTGCTATAAAACCTTGGTGCCCAGCTGATTGAGGAACAGCTGGATAAACTATGGTATAGAAATGTGATGGAATGTTCCAGAACATTATCATGTTGTAAGAAATAACAGGTATAAAGAATTCCTAAGAAACTTGGGAAAACCTAGATGAACTGGTACAGAATGAAATGATCAAAATAAGGTCAGTCACATAATAGCCACAAAGACATAAAGGAACGACTTCAGAGGCAAGGAAAGACATAAGCAGACAAAAGAAAAAAGACAAAAGGAAAGACATAAACTGAAAGACTCCAGGGGAACGAAAAAGAAGCGTGCCTCCCTCTTTTCATCAGAGAGGTGGTGGACTACAGGTGTGGAATGAGGTATACACTGCAGCCACATCCAATGCACTGACTCATTTTGTTTAACTTCTTTGTTATGAGGGAGGGATCTGTGTGGGTTGGAATGAAGTACTGGAAAAGTAGCAGTGATAAAAAAAAGTAAATTGAAATTGAAAAATGAATTGAAAAATTTGAAAAAAAAATCAATATTTTTTTTTTCATCTCTGCTTACAACATACTCCCTCTTCAGGCAGTAAGGAGAGACATTTCCACTGATTAGAGGAAAAGGCACGTGGAAAGAGGGGATGGGTCATTCCAGAGAGAGACACTGCATTTAAACGTTTACAAGACGCAAGCCTTACCTCATCTCCTTTCTTTCCTTTTTCCATTCTTGCAAAATCATCTGTGACGTATCATCTCTGTGAATCTGAAGAATAAGAACATAGCTGTTAGAGCTGTGACTGGTGTTTTTGGTGCGTACGTGTGTGTGCATGTTAAATAATTAAAGTAAAAACAAATCGGACACAAACCAAAAATCTGCTTTCCCTCGGGGTGTTTTCTTTCCATTGAATCTCCTAATTCATCATTATATTATTGTGACTCGCACTTCTTCCACTGGGTCCTTTCATGGATGCCTGATCATGGCATGGAAGTGCTCTGGGTTCTCCAAGACACAGGGTCTGGCCTTTAGTCCCCCAAGATGGAAACACTTCTACTACAAGAGATGGACGGTGGCCATACAAGGACCAGTCTGGCTAAGGGCACAGGATTTCATCACCAGAAGGGGGACCACCAAGTGATACATTTTATTTTGGCTATAGCAATTGACGAAACCACCTCCTAAAATGAAAAAAAAAAAAAATCTGAGTAGCATTGGCAGGAAGGCCCCCACCAATGGAACAGTAGATACCTTATCCAAGGATAAGGAATAGGCTAAGGAGAGAGGATGAGGCATGGGGGTAGAAATGAGACTAGTGGTTTGATTCATATAAGGAAATTTCCTCTAATAATGGAAATCAGCACCTTCTCTGGTTGCCTGGGAGACCAAGAGGTTGTTCAGAGTTACACAGACAGTAGAGGTCAGAGGTTGTATTACCTGCTCTGTTACTATGGCCCTGGGCAAGTCACTGAACCCCCTGGGCTCCTACTCTATAAAATGAAGGACGAGATGAGGTGACCTTTAAGGGATCCTCCTCCAGCTTAAATCAATGATCCTATGGGTCTTTTGAGGAATTCAAGTAACTCATGTTTATAGTATTTCATCACTATCAACTCCCTATCTCATTTCTCACAACAGCGATTGCTTAACTTCTCTTCTCTTCCACCCCAGCGCCATGCTTACAACAGGTGGCTTAGCTTCCTGCTTCCATGGGAAGATGAAGCCAGGCAAGGTGGGCCCACCAACCCACTTACAGCACCATCACCCACTCTCCTCTTCTCTCTTGTGGCCACAAAAAGTAAATCCATCTCTCAATATCACAGGGATCAAACACTCAATCCATGGGCAGTCTTGAGGGTGACCCAAACCAAATTAAAATGTAATTGGGAGAGATTTGTGATCATAATTACACAGAATATTATAATTGTAGTAACACTGTAACTATAAAATACTTATATTTATAATAATTTATATTACAAAATAAAATACAGATAATATTACACTTTAAAACCAAGTCAATATGCAGCCCATAGGGCTCCTTTTTCTGTAAATCAGTGGCCCCCATTTCTATATGAATTTGATGCCACTGCTGTAGAATATTATTCTCCTCCCTCATCAGGTCATAGAATCTCAGGATTTAGAGCTACAAGAGACTTTACAGGTTATCCAGTCCAACCCTCCTTGTTTGGCAAATGGGGAAACTGAGGCCCAGAGAGGTCATGGGACTTTAGAATTGGAAAGGATTTTACAGATTATCCAGTCCAACCCCCTCATTTGAAAAATGGGGAAACTGAGGCCCAGAGAGACTATAAGACTTTGCCAAAGGTAACACAGGCTCTAAGTAGCATAGCTAAGAGTCCAACCCAAGTTGAATGACTTACCCAAGGTCACACAGCTAATTTTGATAGAGCCTGGACTCAAATGCAGGTCCCCTGACTGCAAATCTAGTCTTCTTTCCCCTGTACCCAAATACCTCTGGAGTCTACTAAGACCAGAGTCCTGGCCTAAAATAAACTTTCTGCTGACTTTCCATTCTTAGCTCATGTCATCTCTGTTTAAATATGCACCATTCAAAAACAAAGGCACACAAAGCAAAAGCAGATGTGAACTCACACTCAGCTGATCACAGCTGATGCCCACCACACCAAGAGAGAATGCCTGCCCCAAAGCTATCCCAGCAACCTAACCAGCCTCACTTCAGAGTTCCAAAGGCAGAAATGTGGTAGTGACAGGGGATAGTCAGCAACAGGTGGCTTCTCCCCTCCCCTCCCCTTCTTCTCTCTCTCTCTCTCTCTCCTTCTTTCTTCCCCTCTCTCCTGTTTGGGTAGAGGGTAGAGGCACACATTATTTTAGAAACCTAAGTCAAACACCAAACAGCTGAGTAGCCCTCTCTGGAATGCCAGCTAGATGCCTTCTTCTACTATATTAACCAAGGTCATCCACCCCACTTCTGACCATCATTTGTTCAAGACCAGATGCCCAAACAGCACCTCCCAAATTGGGCCTTTCCTGATCTCTAGCCAGCCCCTCCCCCACTTGCCACCCCCATATATACACTCTCCTCCCCCCTCCCCTCCCCCAACCAGAAACTGCACATACATACAGTCTGGATTTACTTGTCTGTGTATATTTCCCCCAATAGAATGTAAGCTTCTAGAGGCCAGGTCCTCTTTATTTTTGTCTTAGTATCTTCAGAGTTTAACAAACAGTAGGTATTTAATAAATGCTCACTGACTGACCAAACTCCAACTATTCAGGCCCTCATATAAAGTAATGAAACTGATCTTTTTTAAACAAAACATACCAGGATTTATAACAACCAAATCAAAGCTGCTCTTCAAAGGCTTAGTCCAAAGAGGCTGGAATTCATCTTTCAGTACCAGCTCATGAAACATACAAGAAAACCAAGTTCATTATTTTACATCCACCTCATTTTGCTGCTTTTTTTTTTAAACTACCTTTCTCCTTACCCCCCCAAAGATGTATTACCCAGCTTGACCACGCATCTTATCCATGAGAGCTGGCTTCAACTGAATCTTTGTTCTTGCTAAAAATTCAAGTGTACATTGTGTTGGGCCAGGACGCTGGTGGAATTGAAGAGGTTTGAGTTAACCCCACCAGTTGGGAGTGTTAGGACCAAAGGATCTGTAGAGCCATTTGTCCCAGTTTGTTCTTAGGTCAAGGGTTCTTAACCTAGGGCCCACTGACCAGTCCAGAGACAGAGTTCAAGAGGTCTGTGAACTCAGATGGAGAAAAAAAAAATTACACCCACTATCTTCCAATTCACTTTCTTTTAGTCACCTTTGTAATCTTAGATGTTTTATTTCATGCATTTAGAAATCTCATGCTGAGGAGTTCCATAAGCTTTATCAGATGGCCAAAGAGGCCCATGGCAGAGAGAAGTTAAGAATCTTATCCTGGGCAAATTTGGAATCCACCAGCTCTGGGTGATTCATTGCACCAGCCATGGCTCATACATCCTCAAAGCCCTGCTGCCCGTGAAGATATCCAAAAGACCTGAGGCCTGGGTTCTAGAGGCAATTCCAACAGGAGGTCCAGCATCACAGAACTATCGAAGGTCTGATTGGCAGGATGCAGGAAGGCTATGTAAACCAAACCAAGATGGGACAAAAGTCCCCTCTGTCATATCCCTGACGAGTCTCCGCTTGAGCACCTTCAGTGATAGGGAAGTCACTACCTCCCAAGGGAGACCCTTCTGCTGAGGCTGGAAAAACAGGATCACACAACTACTAAGTATCTGGAGCAAAATTCCAACTCAGGAGTGACTTATTCTGAGGTCCAACTCTGTGACACCTAGCTCCCTAGGCAAGCTAAGGACTCAAGAGGTCTGCTTTTCTACAAAGAGAGGGGTGTATGTGGCATGCTCACAAAGTAGTGCATACACACAAACACACACACACCCTGTTTATACTCTCACTACATGGGCTAAATACATTTTATAAAAATATCAAGGGTAGCTAGGAAATCCATGAAGGAAAAAATGACAAAACAGAGAGAAAACAAGTGTCCATGCCAGAGAAGAAAACCAAACCAGTTTCACCAAAAGATAAAACTAAAGTCATTGAGGATATCTGCTTTACCCTGAGAAGAGGAAATATGTGGCAGCCCTCCTCTCTGGCCTCAGGACCCTTTGCTCACTACTCAGGTCTTACTCCATGGCCAGCCAAGTGCCTGCCTTCCTTTCCAAAAGCGATCTGGGAGGTTAGGAGTTAAAAACCCTAGGGAAGGTGCCCTGGGTGGGCCAAGGGAGGGCAGCTGCTCCGTGCCTCTCATCCTGGGGGAATCGGGATCATACTAAGATTGTTCTGGTTTATCCAGACTGAAAGAAAAGGGAAAAGGGAGTGGGGGAGACTCAAACTCCACAGAGAAGAAAACAGCACAATGACAAGCTGGCCTCTGTCATGAGGGGAAGGAAACTGACAGGTTTAAATTTATATAAAATGTAAATTGTTTATATTATCACCACATTATTCTTTAGAAAGATTACTATTAATAGTGTTATTAATAATTACAAATATTAACTTGTTTTATTTGATATATTAAGTGTATTCTCCATATAAATTGTTTAAATTCTATTAAATACCATTTAAATATTAAATATCATGTTTTAAAAGTTCTACAAGAGTGAGAGAAGCACAAATCATATGGTCATATATTGCGAGCCAGAAAGGACCTTAAAACCACCTTATCCAATCCTCTCATTTTGCAAATAGAGGAAACTGAAGGTCTGGGAGGTGACTTGTCCAAGGTCACACAGCAGAGTTGAGACTGTAACCTAGGGTCCTCTGACTCCACATCCAGCGCTCTTTCCATAATACTACACCCTAGATGAGCAATGGGGAGTGAATGTCAAATCAGAAGACATGGGTTCAAATCCTGATCAGCTCAGACACTGACTAGACATGTGCTCCTCAGCTAGACATTCTATTTCTCTGAATCTCAGTCTTCTCATATGTAAATTGGGGACAACAAGACTTGTGGCATCTACTCTTAGGGTTGTTGTGAGGAAAGCACTTGGAGCTTAAAGATACAGAAAAATGTGAATTATTAACCTGTCTTTCAGGCAGTGTTGGCACCTAATAACTGCTAGTGGAAATCAGTTTGGTGCAAACAAAGAAAGGACCTGGGGCAGCCTTCCAGGTAACCATGAGGGTCAATGGCAACATACTTTGTTATTGTAATAATAGTCATTTAAAATAACTTATTAATACAAACTCAAAATACCTTATATATAAAAATACATTCTACCTCATTTGATTGAATTCAACACCTATTAAAATCCCACTTAGGCACTGTGCAATTTGGTTCTGTCATATAGAGAAGAAGCTTTTTTTTTTCTTTTGAGCCAGACCAGAGCTTTCATTGGCAAAAGGAACTCTCTGTGAGGAAACTCCCTCAAACCATGCAGATCACTATGTGTTCTACAACTTTTAGTCTCAGAAGGTTGCCCAGAGGCACTAAGGTAGAGTGACTTGGCCAGGGACATTCAGCTGGTATGTGTCAGAAGCAGAACTTGAACTTATGTTCTCATGACTCCAAGGCCAGTCCTCTACATACCATGGAAATCCGCCTCATAAAGGCTGTGGAAAAAAAAAAAAAAACCTTACTTAGAGATGAAAGAATAATCCAGCCAAGTGATGGCTGCTTCTATGTAAAACAGCATTTTTTAAATATGTGTTTTTTAATTTTTGAGGGAGGGAGAGTTTCAACTTGTGAGTTCATTGTTATACAGAGCTCCCAAGTGAGGAAACTCCCTTTCTATCGACGTAAATCTACAACAGGCCTCAGAAAGTGGCCTGGGGGTTCTGACTGGTTATGTGTCCCAAAGTCATTATATGTCAGAAGTGGGACTTAAACCACATCAACTCTACGCATTATGTCTACCTTCCTCTCATGGTAGACCTACAGTGGGGAAGAAAGCACATCAATGAAATTTACATCCTTCCCTAAGATTTACAGGAGGTTTACCCTATGGGCAGAATAAAATGAAAAGGTTTGTTGGATTGGCACATAACTATGGACAGACAGTGGCACAGTGCCAGAGCAGGGAAACCTACGGCTTCAAAGTCACATGTGGCCTTCTAGGTCCTTGGGTGCTGCCTTTAGACCGAGTCCAAGTTTTACAGAACAAATCCTTTCATTAAGGGGATTTGTTCTGTGATGTTTGGATTCAGTCAAAGGGGGACACTTGAGGACCTAGAGGGCCACAGGTTCCCCACCCCTGTGCTAGAGTCTGAATCCTGTCTCTGCTGCTTTCCGGCTACATGACCTTAAGTAAGTCCCTTAACCACAGTGAGCCTCAGCTTCATCTATAAAATAGGAATAATAACCACCTTGGATACCTCCCTCACACGACTGTCCTTTAAAGTACTACATAAATGCCCATAACTTTTATTATATATTTTTAAAGCTATCTATGGCGTAGGGGATATAGAGCTGGCCTTGGGTTAGAAAGGTCTGGGTTCGAGCCTGGCCACTGACACATCTTAGCTGTGTGACCCTAGGCAAGTACCTAAGACTAGAGGTTGCAGAAAAGTACCAGACTGCATTGGCAGAGGAATCTTCCTCATCCAGGAGTCTCTATAGCAATGACATCACGGGTCCAGTTGCTATCCCGCTGCATTGAATATGTCTGACATGTATCTAAGTATTTATGTACTGTCTTCTCCATCAGAATAAAAGCCCCATTATAGCAGGAGTTATTTCATTTTTGACTTTGTATCCCCAGGGCCCAGCGCAGGACCTGAATTAATTAATAAATGCTTATGGACTGGATGATAAATCTTTGAAGTAATATTAGGCAATTTAAACATAAGAATCAAATACAAAGCTAGTGAACAGCTGGCTGTAGCAGATGGGTTTTGTTTTGTTGTTTTTCAGAGAGAAAATCAGGGAAGGCTTTATAGAGGAGAGGGAACGTTGGAACACAAAGAAAGTGCAATTGTTGAAGTTACCTTCAAGGTCAGGTTGGGCTAATGAAACATATGAAGGAGACACCTGGCCAAGGGGCAGGTGATCTCCCTGCCAACCACCACCTAGTAGCCAGAAGCCGAATCACAGACTCTTGGAGCCTGGAGGGCCCCACAAGACCCTGGAGTCTCAGTTACGTTATTTTCTAAAATGAGAAAATACAGTGGCTCAGCCGCCACGGCAAAGAGGCTTCCTGACTGAGCTAAAGCAGGGTTTTCAGAGGCCCTTTCATGGAGCTGGAGCTGGAAAAGGTCTTACAAAAACAAAAAAATCCATCCTCAGTGATTTATCTGTAGTCCCTGAAAATGATCTAAGCCTTGTGTAGCCTAACCTTAAACAGCAAATAACTGAAATGACTTGAGCTGCTGTAATCCCTCTAGACTTAAGGAGGAGAGAAGAGAAGAAAGAGGAGAGAGAGGAAAGAAAGAAGGGGAAGGGAAAGGAGAAGAGGGGAAGAGAGGAGAGGAAGAAAGAGAGGGAGGGGAGTGGAGAGGGAAAGGGGGACAGGGAGGAAGGGAGGGAGACAGAGAGAGAAAGAGACAGAGAGAGATGGAGAGGGAAGGAGGGAGAGATGGAGAGACAGAGACAAAGGGAGAGAGGGAAAGAGTGGAGAGAGACAGAGAGATGGAAAGATGGAGAGACAGAGGGAGAGAGGGAGAGAGAGAGAAAAAAGAAAGAGAGAGAGAGGAAAGAGAGGAGGAAGAAAGAGGGGGAGAGGAGGGAGATAGAGAGAAAAAGGAGAGGGATTGAAGGGGGGAAATCCCGCAAACCTGCATCTGTTCCAATAATCCAGTCAGGGTCTGCAGCCAGGTCATGGTCTGAATGTACTGCTCAGTGTTCATGATCTTGATCTCTGACCTGAGCTCAGGAATGATGGCGCCCGTCCGCCAGCCATGTTTCAGGGTCAAATCCTGCCAAGAACCAACATGAGTCTTAAGCTTCATTACCTCTTTCAGCCACAATCAGTGTTTGCTCAATGGTTTCTTAATTGTCATGGTTAATTATTAACCAAGCTGGATTAATGAATTACATTTCATTACTAACATTACATCCTGAGCTTTAACGATTTCACCCTCATGAAAAGTTTCAGGCCTGGGAATTATGGCAACTGCGAGGCTGCCCAGATCCCAGAAAGCCGCAGTCTAGAAAAAGTTCAATGAGATGATAAAAAGGAATAGTTTGTTCTTATGTTAAATAAAATAATAATAATAAAGCAACGGATAAACTTAAGTTCTAATAAATATCCCAGACCTATCACTTCTCTGTGTGACCTAGAAATTCACTGCACCCCTGTGAGTCTGAGTTTCTTCATTTGTAAAAATGTGAGATTGGACTAGGGTCACAGCTCTTAAGTGGCAGAGCTGAGAATCGAACCCAGATCTTGGGACTTCAAATTTAAAACCATTTCCATTATATTGCCTCTTTTTTTTTTTTTTTTTTAGGATCTCCAGTGGTGGTGAATTCTTATCCATTGAGAGACTTCTGCCAAAAGCCAAACACTATTTGGTACAAGTCAGTGAATAAAAATGGCCCTGGTACAACTGATGTTTTAATATATTTCTATACAGCGTAAAGGTTTGCAAAGTGTTTTCTATACATCGTCTGTACATTTCCTGTACGCTCCATACATTGTACACCCTCACAAACCACTCTCAAGGGTGGGGGTGGGGGGTACCATAAGTATTAGTAGCCCCATTTTACAGAGGAGTAAACTGAGGTACGCCCATGGTCACATAGCTAGGAAAGGTCAAGATCTGAGATCTCAGACAGGAGCCACCAAAGGGTGCTGGACTGGGCCGGTAGTGAGGAGCAGACAGAGACGAGCCCGAATGACCTGGGAAGGGGGGTGGGGAGCACAGAGCTTTCAATCTCCCCAAATTGTGCGTGTCACAATCTTCACACACTCTCACTGCTCCAGCAGGGAACATCGAGCTCTGATGAGAAATGAGATGACATCTCAAAGAATGATGGAAGATTCACAGTGGGCATGCCGCCTGCAGCTGATCCCCGACAACGGCTTGTGCCGGACAGCCGTGAATGAGGGGCTGGCTCAGCAGTGAGCCTGAGACCTGCAGAGGGCCAGCGCAAGCGGTCCGTTAGCATCATACCTCGCCATCACCACCCCCATCCACACCAAAAGCACAAAAAAGGCTTGTGGTGGATAAAGGGCTGACTGGGAATCAGGAACACCCGGTTCAAATCCCACCTCACACACTGTGGGCAATTCACTCAACCTCTTGGTGCCTCAGTTTCTCCATCTGCAAACTGGGAGCAGAGATGGATTCCATGGCCTCCAAGGTCCTTCCCAGTCCTACATCCATGCTCATATGATCTTATAAGGTCTCCTTATGGGAAAACAGAAACCAAAATCTCACAGGAGAGGAAGGCACTGGGTAGGGAGAGGAGTCTGCAGGGAGATCCGCATCTGTGGAGGAACACACAGCACCCACGAAACCTCCACCCCATCCAAGACAGATGGAAGTGCCAGCCCAGCCCATAAAAGCAGGAATTTGTGGCATGCTGCCCAGGTTCTACTGCCTTCCCTGCTAAGGTTACATTCCATCTACTCCAAATGGATCTTGCATAGATTTCTTTATGTATATGTTGTTTTCCCCATTAGAATGTAAGCTCCATGAGGGCAGGGACTGTTTTTGCCTTTTCTTGGCCTAGCACACAGTAGGCACTTAATAAATGCTTACTGACTTGACTTTGTATCCCTTACACTAAGCACAGTGCCTGGTGCACTGTTGTTGTTCAGTTGTGTCTGACTCCTCCTGGCAAAGATAGTGCAGTGGTTTGCCATTTGCTTCTCCAGCTCATTTTACAGATGAGAAAACTGAGGCAGACAGGGTGAAATAACTTGCCCAGGGTCACATAGCGAGTAAGTGTCTGAGGCTGGATTTGAACTCAGATCCTCCTGACTCCAGGTCCAGCACTCTACCACCCAGCAGCAGGCAATTAATAAATGCTTACTTAATTTGACTTTGTGTTCCCAGTGCCTGGCATACAGTAATTGATTAGCTTGTTGACTGACTGACAGACTGAACAGCACTTGAAGAAATATGGAAATTCCTTAACAGGCGAGAATGGTCCCTATTCTTCTATTAACACCAAAAGAAACAAGTTGCTGTACAACAATTCACTTTTCATTAACTAGAAACATTCCCTGACTTCAGCCCACAGGGTGACGGGGTGAGAGGAAGGTTACTTACTGCCAGATCGCTGTATATGTGATCTCCAAAATACAACACTCTGGACCCCCTCCATCCAGTGAGCTTCAAAAATTCATATAAATTACCCTGTAACAGAGAAGATGCAAACGTTACTGCCTGTGGGGAGTATGGACCCATTCACACACAGCTTTACAAAGCAACAGAGAGATAAACAGTGGAGCAGAGGGGACAATGGGCTGAGGCATGGCCAGTCCAAGTTCTGGCTCTGACACATTCTGGCAGTGGGACCCTGGGTCATGTCACTTAATCTGTGGACGTCCCCCGGGAACTAACTCTCTAAAACTAAGTTGTAGAGCAGGTGAGATCTGCATTGACAGAGAGAGTTCTAACCCCTGGAGTTGCCTACAATGATAAAATCAAAAGGGAGGACCCAAACAAAAAAAAAAATCTAAACACGTGACTCACGAGTCCCACATGACTCATTTTAGTATTAGAGAGCCACCTGATTAGACAGTACTAAAGCTGGGCACCCCGGGTCCACACATGCCCCCTTTATCAGGAAGGGGACATTTCAACCTGCTAGAAACCATTCAGTTGATACCTGTTGAATGCTACGCCACATGAGAAAGCTGTTTTTAAAAAGATATTTATGTGGATAGAGCACTGGCCCTGAAGTCAGGAGGACCTGAGTTCAAATCCAGCCTCAGACTTGACACATACTAGCTGTGTGACCTTGGGCAAGTCACTTAACCCCAATTGCCTCACCAAAAAAAACAAACAAACAAACAAAAGATATTTATCCTTCTCAATGGTATCTTAAATCTCACTAAGGAAGCAACACACATTTAAACACGACAAATTTTAAGCTAGAATTCTGCAGTTCAAATTTTATTTTTCTTCTATTTAGTATAATAAAGTGGGGTCTTAAGCTCATAGCTTTAGAACTGAAAGAGACCTCAGCTGGACCTAGTCCAATCCCCTCATTTTTTATAGATGGGGAAACTGAGGCCCAGGAAGCTGAAGTGACTTGCCCAGGGCCCAGAGGTGGGATTATAGGGTCATATATGTAGAGCTGGGAGGAACTGCAGAGGTATCTAGTTTTACAGATGAGGAAACTGAGACCCATAGAGGGAGTGACTCAGCCAGAGGCACACAGGGCATAAGCGGCAGAGCCAGGGGCCCCACGACCCCAAAATGAAAACTATTAACACTGCCATACTACAAACAAAATATACGATTAAACCCTGAACCACACCAGGATTGTTTTCTATGGTTAATATTTGCCAACCCTGAAATCAAGCAACATGAAGGAATGAACAGAGGTAGTGTGGGAGAGTGAACCAGCCTTGGAGTCAGGAAGCCCTCTGTTCAGATTCCACCCTCTGACACAGACTGGTTGGGTGACCCTGGGCATGTCCCTTGACCTCTCAATGCCCTTGAAGACAAGATGCCCGCCTGCAAGTTTCCACTATGCCGTGATAGAAGGAATTTCTTCACTTGGGAGTTTCCCATACCAATGAAAGCAAAGGTCTAATTTTTTTTAAAAAATGGACTTGACCCCTTTATAATACCTGTTTGTAAATCTGGCCTTTTTCCAGCTTGTGGATCTTATCCCAAAGAAGTACACCTCTTTCGGTCACCTTACGGAATGGTCTAATGAGAGAAGTATTATGACATGTTAGTACAGGGTTTTGCTGTTGTTATTATTATTAATATTATTTTACAATAGTTCACATGAACATAGCACTTCCAGGTTTTCAAAGCACTTTACAAAGATTGTATCATTTCAGTCTCAAAAGAATCCTGGGAGGTAGGTGCTGTTATTACCCCAATTTTACAAAAGAGGAAACTGAGGCAAACAGGGTTAAGTGACTTGGCCAGGGTCACACAGCTAGAAATCTGGGCCAGGATTTGAACTCAAGACTTCCTGATTTCCAAGTCTACCATTCTTTGCGCCCTACCATGCCAGTCATCTCCTTGTGTTATACTATTCCTGAATCCTCACAGAAGTTAAAAAAAGGATCCCAAGTCTAGAGTTAGACATCTGGTCCACCCTCTATCATTTTACAGATGAGGAAACTAAGGCCCTCAGAGAAGTGACTTGCAATTAGCATATATAAGAGGTAGCATTAGAACCCGGATCCTCTAACTCAAGTTAATTCTTCTTCTACTCTGTAATAGCTTGTTCAGTCATTTTCAGCTGTGTCCAACTCTTCATGACCCCATTTGGGATTTTCTTGGTAAACATACTGGAATGGTTTGCCATTTCCTTCTCCAGCTCATTTTACAGATGAGGAAACCGAGGCAAACAGGGTGAAGTGACTTGCCCAGAGTCACACCTAGTAAGTGTCTAAGATCGGATTTGAACTCAGGAAGATGAGTCTTCCTGACTCCAGGCTTGGTGCTCTGTGCACTATGGCACTTCCTAGTTCAGTATTTAAAGTCTCCATAAACATGAACTGGCCCCAGAATAACCTTCATAATCTGAAAATGAAGGAGGAAAGAATTACCATCACCAACCAAGTAGAAAAAGCAGTCCTTGAGGGTGGAGACGGTTTTGTTTGTCTTTGTATTCTTGAAGCCTACCACAGTGTCATGCCAAGAAGAGTCCTAAGGGTTCACACCAAAAGTCAACTGCAAGGTTATGGCCTGGTGGCTGGAAGGATAGTGGTTCTCTGTCACAAGGAAAGAAAGCAGGTGTCCCAAGAAGTACCAGTCTCTTCCCCTGGTCTTGTTGCAGCCATCACAAAGACAAGAACATGGCAGATAGAAGGCCTGAAAAGGCTCTAGGATCCACCTACTTCCCAGGTTCAAAAGCTACTCAGCAAGCATTTATTAATCATTTACTGTGTGCCAGGCACTGTGCTAAACTCTGGTAGTACCAAAAAAAGCAAAAACAGTCCCAGTCCTCAAAGCTTACCCAGTAATTGGAAAGATAACATATAAATGAATATGTGCATCCAAAATGGAAGGCAATCTGGGAGTGGTGATTTGGAGATGAATAAAAGATGTCTGGGAGGGGGAGGAGAAAGGATGTAGATCCTGAAAACCACAAAAGCTTGATGTGGAACCCCAGAAAAATGCTGGGAGAGATTACCGAACAGACGTCTGGGGAACATGAAGAGAACTGATGCCACGAAAAGCTAGCCTGGATTTACTTAGTAGAAGCTACACCACACTAACCACATTCCCTGTTTTATAGGGTTACCACCGGTTAAGGGACCTAGAAAGAAACATCAATCAATACATTTGTTAAGCACCTACTATGCACCAGTCACTGCGCTCGGCACATTCAGGACCCTCAACAGGCTCACATTCTATCGGGTGGATAGAGATTTCTACAAGACATTTAACAAAATCTGCCCTGATGTGCTCAAGGACAAACGTGGGCTGACAATAACACTAGATTCCCAGATGGGTAAAGAGTTTATTAATGAGTCAATGTCAGCTGAGAAAAAAGTCTTTCCACAATCAATAAACAATCATTACTCATTAAGAACTTTCTCTGTGCCAAATGTTAATCTCTGAAGATACAAAGGAAAAACAAGAGTCTTTGCCCTCAAGAAGGTTACACTCCAAGAGGCTTTTATTAAGCACCTACTATGCACCAAGTACTATGCTAGTCACTGGAGATACATAGCAAAGGCAAGAGAGCTCTTGCCTTCAAGGGGCTTACATTCTAACAAGCATCTATTAAGCACCTACTATGCACCAAGTACTGTGCTAACCATTGGAGATACATAGCAAAGTCAAGAGAGCTCTTGCCTTCAAGGAGCTTACATTCTAAAAAGCATTTATTAAGCACCTACTACATGCCATAGTGCACAGCAAGGTGGCTCAGTAGATAAGAGTGCTGGGCCTGGAATCAGGAACACCGTAATTCAAATCAGGCCTCAGACGCTTACTAGCTATGTGACCCTGGTCAAGTCACTTCACCCTGTTTGCTTCAATTTCCTCAATCATAAAATGAGCCGGAGAGGAAAATGGCAAACCACTTCAGTACCTTTGCCAAGAAAACCCCAAATGGGGACACAGAGTCAGACTATGCAACAACAACACTAACTAGCCATGTGACCTCGGGCAAGACACTGGAGAAGGAAATGGCGAACCACTCCAGTATCTTGGCCAAGAAATCTCCCTGAACAGTATGGTCCATGAGGTCACAAAGAGTCAGACACAACTGACCAACAACAGCACGGGCTATGTACTGTTCTAGCTACTAGAGATACAAAGAAAAAACGAGGCAGTCCTTGCATTCTAATAAGCATTTATTAAACACCTACTGTGTGCTCGGGGAAAGCCAGACAAAAGCGAAACAGTCCTTGCCCATTTCGCACTCGTGGTCCTGTACAAGTCAACTTTTTTTCTGAACAACTCAGATGAAGGCCTTGAAGGCACACTTCACAGCTATGCAGAGGACAGAGCTGAAGGCAATAGAGCTCATGTGCTGAATGAATCAGAATTCAAAAATATTTCAACAATCTGGAAAGACAGGCTGAAACCAAGATGATGAAATGTAAAAGAGAGAAATAAAGCCTCTGCACTGAGCATCAAAAACCTCTTCCTTTTCAAAAAAAAAACAAAAAACCACATGAGTGTATATGAAAGGAAGTTTGGTATAACAACAGTTCATGTAGAGGAAACAAAAGCAGGGGGTTTAATTGACTGTAGGTTTTATATGAAACCCCCCCCCATGTGATGTCAACTCAAAAAGGATCACGCAAACACAGGCAGCATTTACAAAAATATAATGCCCAGAACAAGGGAGGTAACAGCCCCCAGGGTCTTCTGCCCTGGTCTTGACTAGTAGCAAAAAGAATTCTAGGAGAAGCACATGGTGTAAGGAAGAGAGAGAGGACTCTGGAGCCAAGAAAACCTGAATTCCAGATCTGCCTCTGACACATTGAGGCTACGTGACCTTGGACAAATCACTGAACCTCTAAGTGCTCTGGACAACTCTCTAAGACTCTACATTGAAAAGAAGGTGCCAACCTGCACTGGTAGAAGAAATGTCTTCATCTGGGAGTTTCCTAGACCAATGAAATCACAGATCCTATTCCTATCTCTATCTCTATCTTAAAAGAATCATACTTGCATTTATATTACACTGCTTTAAAGTTCAAAGTCTTTTCCTTATAATAACCCTGCAAAAGTATAGGTAACTCTCAGGTGAAGACACTCCCTCTACCAATGCAAGATGGCATCTTCTCTGAAGCTCATAAGTCTTAGAGTTGCCTAGAGCATTAAGTGGCTAGGTGTCTTGCCCAGGGTCATACAGCCAGCAGGTGTTGGGGCAGGACTTGAATCCAGGTCTCCCCAAGCCAACTCTCTGGCTATCATTCAGAAGCAACTCATATCATACTCATTACATGGATGAGAAATCAGGGAAGTTTATTACCTTGTCCACGGTCACACAACTCTATTATTCCACAGCTGACTCATATCATGTCCATTATATGACTGAGAAATCAGAGAGTAGCATACCTAAGATCACACAACTAACTCTATCTACTATTCTGCAGCTGACTCACTTTGGGTCCATCATATGGATGAGAAATCAGAAATGTAGTAGCTTGCCCATGGTCACAAGGCTGGTAAGCATTCAAGTCAAGACCAGAACCCAAGTCTTCTGACTCCAAGCCTAGAGTTCTGTCTGCCACCCTGCGCTACCCACCATTCATATTCAGAGTATCAAGGCAAGCCCTGGAATTCGTATCTTAAGAGCACTGACAAAATGGAGTCTGTCCACAGAAGAGAGCAAACAGGATAATGAAAAGTCTTAAGAGGACTCAAGACTGGAGAAAGAACAGAAGATGTTTAATCAGGATAAAAGAAGACCAGGGAGGGGAGATGTGGGAGGAGGGAATAAGCTGTCATAGATATCCTCGGGCTCATAAAGGATTGTCATGCAGAAGAGAGTAAACAGTGTGTTTCTAGGTCAGAACTAAGAAGCTGTAACATCATTCT